GCCGTCGCCGGATACGCTGTTTGTGTGCAGCCGAACCGGCGCGTTAAACCACAGCAGGCTTTCCAGGCAAGGCCCCGTCAGGCTGTCATGGTGGTGATTAGAATGTGTTGTGACGCGCAGTGTTGTGCATCCCCACACCTGGACACACAACTACACACTCAGAGGCACGTCCGCCTGCACAGAGATGCTGTGGCCTGCAGCGGCACACAAGGTCCATTGCTGTTCACCTCTTGTGTCATTGAGTGTTAAGGGTATGGACTATCTGTCTGCTTTGTGAGAGACACACACACACACACACACACACACACACACACACACACACACACACACACACACACACACACACACACAAACTCTGATGGTTCCTTCTTGATTATAACTCTTAACATTACTTCCCAAGGTGAGGAGTTTTGCTTCGTGCTGATAAATCCCTCCACTCTATCCACCCCCCCCCACACACACACACGCACGCACACACACACACACACGTACACACATCTTTGGCTTTAGATACACGTCATGCTGTGCGTGTCATCTCCAGGCCTGACACTATATACACATTCCCTTTCCAGAGTGTCGTACATGCATTTAAACAAACACAAACACACACACACACACATGCTCCTCCATTGCTTGGAGCTCAGAATCATGCCCCCCTTTCTGGTCCCGTTACTCACCACAAGCTCTCACACCTCCTCCTTTAAACATACATGCGCTCCTCTCGCTGTCACACACACACACACACACACACACACACACACACACACATACGTGCATAGGTAAACGCCACTAAGGGAATGTGCGGTTGCATTTCCCTCCTGGCCCCAGGACCAGAACTGATTGATATTAGAGGCAGCAGGGTTGCAGAAATGAGTGAGGAATAGCAAATAGGGTGCGTGCTCCCGCCGCCACACCTTGATGATGTCGAATTGACTGTTCTCAGGCTAATGCCGGAGTTTTTTTTTTTTCTTGTTTCGCCTTAGAGAATATTGCCAGCTGTGTCTTTTGTAGCAGTATTACAAAGCAAGAGGTGCCGTTGGAAAAGCGCGTATGAAGGGTGTGCAGCATCACACGGCGGCGCTGCCCGGCAGGACCCGCCGGTACACGCCCAGCAGCCAGAGGACTCCAGTTATCTGGAGTGGATTTGCGTTGATTTGACCCTAACCAGCATTTAGGCACCCCACTCACCCCGCCTTATTCTTAACTTTGCCTGACTGGAATTGTAAAAGCTCGACTCCGTTGTTTTTTCTTCAGTTCGAATTGCTGATATTGCCTGTGAATAAGCGCCCCTCTAGCTTATTTTCACTTCCAAAAGATCAATTTTGAGTCTCGTCTTTAGTCGAACAGAAAGGCCTTTCACAGTGAGATGAACAAACTTGGAGATTACAGCCTCTGAAATTAGTTCAATGTTTTAAAACAAGTTGGTAGCTGCAAAAAATCGACTGAGGAGGGTTTGTTACCAGAGAGAGCATACGTGGTGATGAAATCTTTTTTTTTTTCCACACACCATTTCATTCCCCAGGTTTTTAGATCTCCAGAGGCTTTACAACTTCAATATATTGTGCAGCAATCACACTTGTGATGGTCACTGAGATTGTTTTTCTTTTTTTTTGCCCTCACAGCTATAATTCATGGTTTATGAACAAACAAGGTAGTGATCCTGTGGCATTTACAAGGTTGGATGAGCTGGCTTTTTTTCCCCGTAGCCTGAGTACAGCGTGTAGCGGTGTAGTTTGTTTGATAGTGTGTCTGTCTGCTCCTGTGAAAGGTGAGTGTCACCCAAATATGAGGAGTGCAACACCATTATTGCAGATTGGCATTCCAGAGTGCTTTAATAAGGGTACAGGTTTTAATTCTTGCCTCTGCTGGTCAGCTGGAAAAAGGTTTTCTCACTGAATTGGTGAGTGTTGATCATATATGGTTGTTTTCCCCTTTTAAGTATTGAAAATGACCATCCACAGTTGATCATTGGTGTCTCTGTTGACTTTCCTTCCTGCAGAATCACCTGTAAATTAGAGCTGAACAGATAAACTGAACCATTTGAGAAAACCCTCTGCTAACATTCAACTCCTTCACAAATGAGAAGGACATTAACATGCTTCCATATGGCTGTCAATACTACTTTAGAAATTAAAAGATAAATAAATCTGTGCGCATTATTCTGCATGTTTTATTATTTAATGCAGTGTATAGATTCTAATAGCAGCACCACTATTAAAAAAGCACTGAAGGTGCGAGTCTGAAACCGGAGCAACATGGCTCATGCGTCAGGCCCTGATAAAAAACACTGGTGTTTTTCTGGGTTTCCCAGTAGTAAAAGTAGTAAAAGTGTGGAGAAACTTAACATTTTTCATTATTTCCAAAGCTAACTCGCCTAAGGCAAGGAAATGATCTCTTTATTCCTCTTGTCGTCATTCCAAACCCACATGTCGGCGGTGTTTCTAACAGAGGAGCACTGCCACGCAGATCTACAAAACTAATCGGCTATTACCCTAAAGCCCAGTAAATTTTGCCCAAAAAAGTCTGCAAAGCCGTTACCATCTAGCGTGCCGTTCCATAAAGCTGAGCAGAGCTTTCGCTTTTTTGGGAGAAGATTTCAGAGATCACTGCTCTTTAAATCTCATCGGAGCCCTCTCCGTGCCTCTGAATTTGCCACAGTTCCTCCAGATCGTTGTCTTTGAATCCAAGTTGTGAAGAATGCAGCTGTGAAGACATCTGAGGGATTTTCACCCTGCCTTTTAATCTGAAGTCAATTTAAAAAAAAAAAAAAATGGATGACACACCAGACTTTATTGTAGGCTGTAAACATCGCTTCATTGGAAGTCGACTAGCTTTGAAGTCTGCCTAAAAGCGCTGTTGATTAGCAGCTTAAAGCAAAGCCCGGCCATGGACTGATTCACCATTATACGCTACATATTACTTCTTTCCTGGACATGATCGTTTGAAGGTTTAGGATGGAGGTATTTACTAGAGAATTTCTCTCTTGCACTCACCCAACTTATGCTCATCTTTTCCATCAAGGGTTTCCCGTCATTAATGAAATGGTGACTAAGTTACCAATATTATTTATTAATTAGCTGGAAAGTGCAATTATATTTAATTATAAGTTTTAGTTTTCAGGCAGTGGAACGGTAATCGACATCCCAACACAGACCAAAACTTTCCAAATGAACTGTCGGTGTAAAACTGAAGCCACCGTTTTGTAAAACGCCGGAAACATCCCATTCAGGAGCTACACGCCGCGCTGTTGCTCACACATTAGGGCCCTGAATCTTTGGGTTAAAAATTTCTGGTAAAGAAAAGGGGAGAAGACACGGCTCAGTGTTTTTCCATTTCTGTTGTCAGTCCTTCAGCTTTCAATTTCTGCCTTAGAGAGTTTGTGCCCAATTTGCCTGCTAATGATGGCGTGTTGGGCCGGTGTATGCATCAGTGGTGCTTGAGAGGTAAGAGCTCAAACCGAGAGACTTGAAAGTGCAGAGAAAAATGGAGTGGTTGGGTGGCGGACGGCCTCCCTCTCCAGCCAGCTCCTCGCCTTAGTGTGCTGTGCTGCTCGCTGGTCTGGCTCAAATCGTGGTGCTAGCCTCACCATTTGGCCCCCACTGTCAATTTTCTGGTTTCATCTTTTAACTCTCTTGCTTTCCCCCAGCACCTATTTTTCCTTCATGAAGTTTTTCATGTCCAAATCTCATGTGGGTTTTTTCTGTAGCACACAACATCCATAACTAGAATAACTAGAACACAGAGGACCAGATGCTGTCTGACACCAGCTTTGTCCTCTTGTCCTCCTCCTCAAAATGCCACACATCTTCTTCTTCTCAT